AGCTTACTGTCTTATACGGCGCCACAGCTCAACTTCAGCATGACGTATAAAAGTAGCGTTGAGTTCCAAATGGAAATTAAAATAATTTGCCGTCGCGGTTTCGGTTCGCAGACGACGCAACAGTTTGGCGATTTCACGTTGTTGTTTTGCATAGGACGGCTAAGAAATGTACAAAGTCTCAAAATGCACGTGCTGAGCTGTTGTTCTGCCAATTAGATCTCTTGTTTTTCCACATCCTCGTTGCCGTCGCTGTCGTGGTTGCGTAAGGTCCCTAATAAATAATTGTACACTTCCTACGCAATCCCGCAAAATCACACAATACACATAGCACTGTATACACTTGTTCCGCAAAACGGCGATATCTCAAATGTGTTAACAATGAACTATGAGACCCAGCGGCTTTATGGGTCAGATGTACATGATAGCCACCATCGATATCCACGCTTTTCCCGAAAGAAAGGAATCGTCATGGAAAAAAAAAAATCCATTATCCCTGAGGATGTAAGAAAGCGAACATTTCCCATAAGGCCGTTGGGTCGGCATCGATCAGAAGGTGTCAAAAGTTTTGGCAATCGACTGTGTACTGTACCAGTCACGAGTAAATGAACTCGGTCCTCGAATGCTCGTTACTAGATGTTTGAAGCTTCCAAGAAATAAGTGGGTTTCGAGATTCAAGGGACGTCAAGATCTTTTCAATATCATTAGACCTCTCTTTGGACACAACTCCACTAAAAGAAAATACCATTCGAGAGAAACACCTGAAATTGGTCTCAGTTGAGAGAAAGTCCTACAGACGTACCTGTCCTACTTTAGGGTCACACAGCACTGTTGTCCAAACTGACCGGCCATTAGGGCACGCTTGAGTGGGTCTGAAAATACGTACATTCAAAAAGCTATGTCACAACATGTCCATTTTGAGAAATTGAACCTCAGTTTTACAGGTTCTTCGCCAGCAATCTGTTGATATCTTCTCCATCCTAAGCCAAACTTTCCCCTTTTAATTCAAAATTACCTTTTTGTGCTATATTCTACTTTGGCAAACTAATATTTTGTAGATTCCTTCTAGGTGATGGCAGTTCAATTAACAAGAGGATAAGCCTTGTCTCAAGGTATCAAATTATCATTTCACATTGTAACAACAGTCACAACTTAGAAGGAGATTTCAATTAAAGTTGCTGCATTCATTGAAAGACTTATAGCAAAGATTAACATCTGGTTGATAACTGTGTTTCAGTTTTGGCAAAAAAAAAAAAAAAAATACAGCAAGAAACCATGCTTTGACTTCCACTGTTTTACAAATTGCACTCTCAGTTGAAAGAAAAAGGTAGAAACTCCAAATTTCGTTAACTTCCATGCTATTGTTTATCAATATCGTATGATCTTGTAAACAGTTAAAAACCTGCGACTGTTCATGAAACAGTAATAGACTATGAAAACAAACGAGGACTAAATAACTTACTTGTCACCGTGGAACTTGAATAAGAAAAAGATGGACGTGTTTGTTACTGGACCTGGAACATCACAAAAACATCAAATGTACAAAAGTTATTGCTGTTCCTTTCAAATTCACTGTCATTGATATTAGTCTACACTAACAGAATTATCAAGAATACTCGCTGAGTAGTTTTACCTGTTTTTCCAGCGAATACCGAGGCTTCGTTGGTCTTATTGTCGGCAATGTCTTCAAAAATACCTTCAAGGCGGTCTGCAACACTGTAATACAAGAACAGAACCAAAGTAACGAATTTAATTTTTTTTTTGTGGAAGAATAATAAAAGTAAAATTCCTCCCTTTTTGAGTCAGTCTACACTGAGATGTCATGGTGTTGATGCTTTTAGCTTTGATACGAGTGGGGGGAAGGGGGAGGGGAAGGGAGGAAGAGGGAGGGGAAGGGGGGAAGGGATTTGTGTGAGGGTGGAGTTGAATATTCTTTCCTAAAGTTCTAATGAGTCAAATCCTTTATTTTCCATAGTTAACAAATCAGCAACCGACGGCATGGGCTACTGCAATGTCAACGTTTAAAACCAGCGTTGTATTCTTTGTAAAAAGATGTACTAATAATTCACTCACCTTAATGTTTGTGTGGTCATCACAACTGGGTCAGGAACAACGGTCATGCGGCAAACAGGTGAAGTCAAATTATAGGCATCCTGTCAAGATTAATTAAAAAAAAAAGGATTGTCAGCAGGTTCCCAACCATTTGACCCACTCTCAGAGTAGCATCTAATTTCTCCTTACAATATCCCGCCTTTATTACATCCATTTTGAAATCACTGGTGGTCCCTGTAATCTGATTGGTTCCAATTGGTACGATTTATTCACGAATCGCACCATTTTTTGCTCCAAATCGCATCATTTTACGCTTGACTGAGTTTTTGACACATGATGTCAAAGTCTTTCTTTTGAAAGTCTTTCTGATCGAGCTTATGAATCGTGACGTTTATGAATTGATAAATAGTTCCTATCTATCGTGTACATTTATCTATTGTGTAGTTGGCGCCTAGTTTTAAAGTCAATTTCTTGTGATTATTTTTACTTTCTAGCTTTATCAAATTTTTGTAAACAGCGCCTTTGAATCTTGTAGAAAAGGCGCTATATAAATGGATTATTATTATTATTATTATTATCATTATTATTATTAAAATAAGACGTAAAAGCGTTTCCGGTTCCGCTTTTTATTTAAAAACCGGCTCAGTACTGCATCCATAAACTATTTAAATTGACCAAGTCGTGTATTTGGGCGATTTCAAAATGGATCTAATAAAGTGGCAATTGAACCTCGTGTCGTGCAATTTTGGTCTGAAATCATACTTGTGATTTGAAATCACGCGTATGATTTCAGAACAAATTGCACTCCACTCAGTTCAATTACCATTATTAATTAATCATTAAGGTCAGGGGAATAAAGGAAATGATCACCAGCTAATGAAGCTCTTGATTGTTAAACAAATTCTCCTTATAAGCACCTTAGGAAATGTATAGAGAACAGTATGGAGAGTAAGCTTACTGACGTTCGGGTGTAAAGGGTTACGGTTGGCACCAAGTCGCTATAACACTCTACAGAGATAGTTCAATGGTAAGTACTTTATGTGACACTACCATCTACTTGAAAAAATTCTTGTAACAGAACCTTGTCTCCGAAACTAGTTGTAAAATTCAAGTCAGCGAGATAAAACGAATTACTTTGACTTGTTTAGAAAGCACTTGAGACAGAAGTTCCTTGGAGGGACATGTTGTACAGCATCTTGCCAAGAGGATTCTGACTAGATCGAGAACCAAATTCTCCTAGCTACTTCGTAAGAAATGTATAGGAGAACTAAGAATCCGATGTTGGGATGACACTCACCGATTTGCCAGTGGAAAGGCTGATATTATTGTGACATTTTGCCATTTTGTAGGGATGTCCACACAAACTCATGTTGAAGAGGTGGTAATAACGGAAGCCACGTCTGGTGAATGAGGGACCAGTGGCAATGCTGTGAGTTCTACGAATAAAGGAAAAGAGAATTAATGTCTACAAAACCACCTCGTATTATTTCAGCTGGTTCACAGGTACTTATGTGGAAACGATAACAAACGGAACCACATTAACTCTAAATTAAAAACGACCTGATCCAAGTCATCCATTACTGTTGCAGCTTGTCCTAGCTTCTGTAGCGTGAAGCAACAACAACAACAACAACAACAACAACAACAACAACACCAACAACAAAACTTTATTCTTATTCTGATTACAGACTTACATAATTGAAAATTCTTATTACAAAAATACATGATTAAAATGGTTTGCCCCGCAAATAGCTAAGAAGCTAGTCGTGGCGGGGCAAAACAAGAACGTGATTACAATAACAAGTTATGGAAGAATAATAATAAACAAGGCAAACCTATGTTAACAGAGAAAAACCTTGCAGATTGCAACTAGAGATAAATAAAACACAGAAGTTGGGAGATCAAATTAACACAGCACTTACGGACGAACAATGTATAAAGACAAGGAGTTGTAAAAGGAAAACAGACGTAAAATGGGACCTTCAGCACGCGCTTCTACGATCCTACTTTTTTAATAATCATAGGGATTTCAATCTACTCATCCTCCTTTACTAAAATATCAAGAAACAATTTGCGGAGAGTTTTTTTGAAAGCTTTCTTTGGGAGATTGGTTATGTAGCTTGGTATCCCATTCCACAGTTTAACTCCGAGCCGAGAAAAAAAATTGTTTTGCATTTCAAGTCTAGAATATTTAACATAAAACTTGCCAGACGTAGAAGATCATTTATTGTATGAGTGGATATTAGACGCTTTCTGAAATAAATTTAACATGTTTGCTGGGGCTTTACCATTATCGATGTCGTGCATTAAGGTTGATACGGACTCATAGTAAAGAAAAGTTATTGGAAGCACGTTAGCTTCGAAAAAAAGACGAATTGCATGGTCATGCCATTCGGCAAAGTATAATAAACGAAGCACTCTTTTCTGAAGAATTAGTATTTTGTTAAGATAAGTCTTGCATGCCTCACCCCAGGCAGCAAGACCATAAGTTAAATAGGGATGAAATAATGACTTATAGATGTTCAGTACTACAAGTCGGGGTACAAAATGGTGTAACTTTGCAATTAACCCGATAGTCTTACTAATTTTTGTTACAATGGAATCAATGTGATATTTCCATGAAAGATTCTGATCAATAAGTACGCCCAGGTATTTTATGTAGACTTTAGACTCGAGACAAGTATATTTATTCTTATCATTATCAAACATGTAAAGTTTTGGTTGATAAGCAAGTCGCTTTTGATAGGGATGAAAAATTACAAGCGAACAGGATCATTACTATCCCTTTCCCCCAGTCCCACCCCCCTCCCCCGGGACTAACCTTTCAAAGGAGCTAACCTTTCAAAGGTACCCATCCCCTCCAAATCATTCCATCAGATTTCCCTGAAAGTTTCTGGCACTCACTAACGCTCAGAGCCCAATTTTTTGAAGGCCAATCAAAAAAGAGAAGACCCACGATTATATTTGATTGCAGGTTTCTTTATTCCTTTGTTCAAAAGCCTTTTTGGGATAACTTCCTCTATTCTTTTTAGAACATCCAACGATCAAATTGTAGACAATAAAAATTATACTGAATTTTCTTTTATGGCTTTCAGATCTGACATCCAACTTCACCCTAACCCTGGGTTATCTTTTCCCACATTCGAACAACCCAGCCCTTGGGAAAAGGAGGGGGGGATGGGTGGGTGGGTGAGGGAGTGGGAGAGAAGATACTGTGAGAAGAAAAGATTCTTGTCCAAGAACACAACACAATGGTCCAGCTAGGATTGACACTAGACCTCCCCCCCCGCCTCTAACTATGTTTAACACCATCACAGTTACACCACCCTCACTCCTTACCACTGCCGAATGAAATAAATTCTGTCAAAAATGCATATTTGACCATTCACATATTCGGGACACGCGATCATTTGTTTGTTTGTTTTTGGTAAGTGCCAGGCGCTACCTCCATGCGGGGGACTGGGACAAATAATAAAGGTTGTTGTTGTGAGCACATGGAAAATGTCTGAAGTATGTTGTAAACCAGGATCCTGATAGAATTTCCCACACCTAGAAATCTCCATATTCTTTACAAAGACAAAATGAATAACTCAGTAATAGTAGTTGGTATCTACAATGTACATACCCTTGGAGACCAGTAAAGTTGAATTGTCGCATATGCTTGATGGAGTTGAACAAACAGTTAGAATGACACGTGGTGGATCCCTTTTCACTGAAAATGAAAAACAAAACGAAACACAACCAAAATGAGGTTCAATTCTAACTCAAAGCAACCTGAAGGTTCCTGTTCTTTCTAGATCGTCCCTGACCCCTTAGCTACCCCATTGTTTTAATGATTTATGACCGAAAGGAAAAAGAAGTAGTTAACCTTCAGTACCTGGTTAGTCCTGGTCCACATTTGACACAAGCTTCTGATCCATATAGGTTACTTGTGTTCAAATAGGTGCCTGTTGACAAAAAGGAAGGCATCTAAGTGAAAAGTTCCAGCCCCTTTTCCACCTCAGAAGCACAATTACAAATAAATTGACAAAGCCAAAGAAACAAGTCATTCTTTTCCACATATGAAAAAATTAAAATACCTTTAGGGCATGGCACACACTTTTGCTTCTTAGTATCCACATAGTTACCCTTCGGACAGCTAATACATCTGGAAAAAAGAGAACAAGGACAAAACTAAATAAATCAGTCATAATATTGAAGCACATTACAGGATTGAGTGTTCTTTATTGATGACAACCTGCCCATTGCCTTTTAAAAATTACCCTTGAACTACTCTAGTAGTAAAAACTTAGCCTACCCAACCCTCATGCATAATTACCCTTGTAGTAAAAACCTCATATTTCTAAAACATTTGGCTATGAATTGACAGATCAAATGCCACACTTATGAATTTGAGTACAACAGTCTGCAGTTAACATTCTTGTCCCAGTTTACAGTGAAAAAAGCCACTACATACCCACTCTCTGAAGATACTGGGCATGATCGGCAATGATCGGCACCTCCATCAATGGTGTTGTTGATAGAAATGGAGTAAATCTTCACTCTGGAAGACAAGGTATAAATAAATTGGGTTAAGAAATCTTACAACAATGACGTGGCTTGAGAACTAGTTACAATTTTGATAACTAGTCCCATATGAAGGTAGTAATGGCCTTACTAACCCTCAAGTTCTTTGTGGCTCCATGATAGTACATTGCAGAGCAAAACGTATTTAAGGTTTGAGGTTTGATTCCTTTCAGGAACTCAAGATATTTTTTCTTTTCCCTTGCAATTGTGATGAGACAAAAAATAACTCTCGCTACTGAGAAAATTAATTGCTGATCAAAAACTATATTAAGTCAATAAAGACCAGGACACTATGGGGGCAGGGAAGAGATGATCCTTCCAACAAAGATTTAAATGATTTATAAGGTCTGAATTTTGATTCCTCATAGGAAACCAAACTCATAACTTTTTCCTGCACTTGAGACACAATACATCAAAAACAACTCTCTCTGTCGGGAAAAGTAATTGCTAATCAAAAACTATACTACGTTATAATAAAGGGCAGGACACTAAGAGGCAGATCCTTAGGACAAAGATTTAAACTATATAATGTTGATTCCTTGTAGGACTTTGCACTTTTTTTTCTCTTTTTCCTGTGTTGGCAAGGGCAGATCACTGGGACAAAGATTCAAAACAGTTTAAATTTGAGCCAACCGAGGCAGAAACAAAGATTTTGAAAAAAAGAAAAAAATTCTCCACAATATTTATTCAAATCATGACTGTGTCCAATCCCAACAATATGTTGCCTTGTGTCTCCAGATCTACACACCTACAGGTACATAATTTACCAATAAAGAAACATACCGATCATTGTCATAGTTATAAGACAGTTCATCATCACTAAATGAGTAGGAACTCTGTTTTTGAAATGTCCAGATAAACTGAGTTTCCCTGTGAGAGGTAATCATGTATCTGAAAAAATGATAAGGAAATAAAACCTATTAGCTTTGAAGTGATCATACAGTTGTTTTAAAGTGGAATTATTTACTAACCCACACACTCCAAAGATCTGATTGTTAATTCTCCCCTCTAGCTGCGTTACACTTCCTTGTAGATTAGTTACTTTGAATATTCTCATTACCCGTTACCTGGTTAATGTATGGATGTAACAGGGAGAGTTTACATATTCTAATCACTTTTGGGAGTGTATCAATGGAAACAGTCACCATAATCCTTCCAGAGTAAAAATCAAAATAACCAAACTTAAAATTCCTTTTTGTTACCTGTACTTAATTTTCTTATTTGCCCCTGTCCATACTTCAATCACACTTGTCATTTTATAATGCGGCTTCTGGAGATTGCACGTGAAAGACAAAATGTAACAAGTAGGTCAATAAGATGAGTTCAAAATTTGCTAGTTATTTTATGATTACAATCATAACAGACAAAAATAACAATAATGGGACTTATAATTCTGGGAAATTAGCAGTGGTTTCCGGATCAAATTGGAATTTGACATTATGGCTTTTGTGGAGGAAAACCAGAGGACCAAGAGAATAAAACATCAAAGCAACAAGCAACCCCAACAAAAAGCAACCCCCAACTTAACCCACATGTAAAGCTACATTCAGGAATTAAACCTGGGCTGCAGTGGTGGAGGTGGCACTCTTGCCACTGGGCCATCCCAATCCCACTTCCCAGATGAGAGTCAGACAATTTTACTTTATTGTTTATCATCAATAGCATCACTATCATCTCCACTGACAAGACCAACTCAACATAACCATCATGGTCATCATCATAATTGCTGTCATCAAGCCATTCCAACTTCTCTAAAACAACAGCTACACCTCAAAGAAATAACACTTGGGAAAAATTGAAATTCAGGTAAAAGAGGAGTATTTAGACTTTTATGAACTTCATTACCTCTTTGAATTTAAAAGTACACTCTCCAGTACAGATCATTTCAAAGACAAACTCCACCATGCCAAACTGGCCCTGTACAGGATTTTTAAGACCCTCAGGACTTCCAAAGCCTTTCACAGGAAGTTTAAGTGACATGTAAACATCATCTGCTTGATTGATGCCACTGTCCAGGTAGTTTCCACGTGGTTGCCAGCCCTGTTTTGTGGTGCATCCACGATCTAATTAATGAAATAAGTAGTTGTTGGAAAAATAAGTACAGACAGGGCAGTAAAAGAGCCAGGGTAGGAAACTAGTAAGAACCATCACTCTCCCTGCCCCCCCCCACACACACACACACACCCCGACACAGACTAAATAACAGTTCCTTGCACACAAGAACAACTCAACTTTTGATGTTTCCCAGAATTTAACTGTAAACATTGGCCACAAAAATGTTTTTAAGCAAAAATTGTCAAATGCACACGTAGGAACTTAACGATATTAAGTAAACATCTTTCAACAAACTACTACAGATCTGAACTAGGACTTGCATGTCATGCAAACCATACTTAATTGTCACACACCTGACATAGAGAAACAGGATGCATGTAAATGTTCTGGGACGCTATGCCACCATTTGAGGTGGTGTCCATAAACTGGCTCGGTGGACACTGGACACTTCTCGCAATCTAAGCAAGACATTAAGGATTTTGTTAGTAATGTATAGAAACTTGTGTGAGGAAAATGAATAACGGGGGTTTATTTCTATAGAAACTGTGGTGCTGTGTCAGAGAACGTAACATGGTAATTTTGGTTTTTATCAACTGAATTGATAATGTAAATTGGCCACTGCAAGGAAAAGGTCAAAGTGATTTCTGCAATCTAAGGTTTATTACATGAACTGTACAAAAGATTCTGAAAGTAACGAGTCTTTCATTAAGGACAACTCCCACACCCAAAGGAGCTTATTCCCAGAAATCAGTAGGTTCTTCAGGAGTACTGTGCTCCTAGACAAGACATATTCCACCACAGGTTACCCAAATCAAAGATCACCCCCCCTCCCCCCTTACAACCATCTGTGGATAGCAGTAATGAGAAAGCACAGGGTTGTATCCAAGAACACAACACAATGACCTGGCCAGGGCCTATTTTAGGCCTTTAGCTCCCAGAAGTGATTCAAATGCAACATCTCATACAATATCCATACACTATTTAGTAAACAGGTAATGAGAATACTCAAAGTTATCAGGTAGAAGTTATCTTGATCTAACACCAACTTGTTTACAGGGAAACGAGAAGGAGCTAGTGGGGAGAATTAACGATAGGATCTTGGGATAGGTAAAAGGGTAAAGCCTACTTAGGAGCCATGTGGCTCATCAGGCCAGCACTTAACTCCGGTTTCCGTAGCATGAAGACTAGGCGTAACTCTCCCCCCCCCCTCAATGGAATGCTAGCCCATCGCAGGGTTACCACTGGCATTAAATTCACCAGTACCCATTTAAACACCTGGGTGAAAAGAGGCACTGTGAGAGTAAAGTGTCTTGCCTAAGAACACAACACAATGTCCCCAGCCGGGGCTCAAAACCGGACCACTCGATTAGGCACTGAGCGCACCAACCATGAGGCCACCGTGCCTCCACACAGGATCTTGAGAGCTCAATGGTTAATCTGGACCTTTTAGTTCACAGTTTGGCACACTAACCATCAATTTAATGCATCAGCCAACCTGAGAAGCTCTACTGTACAACAGATCTCACCTGCTTTGCCATCACTGAATTGATTGGCAGGACAAAAAACACAAGAACTGCCTGCACCTGTGCCATTAAGATGCATTCCAGGGTTACAAGGAGGACAATCTTCCTTTGCCCCAGATGCAGGCAGCTTCTTGGCTCCATCCACATCATCTCTGCAGATCTTTGGTTCTATCCACATATACTTAACTTGTGTCTGAGAGAAAGGTGGGTTAAAGAATATTTGATTAACATTTTTTTAACCATAAACCATGTTCCATCCAGCCATCTCTGATTACACGATAATAACATAAAAATAAATATTTTCTAAGAAATAGTTACATGGTATTTAAAATCACCAAATATATTTACAAAAGTTTGATCAAAACCCTAAAAATCGAAAAACACGTTAAAATGTCCATCAGAAGCTAAGAAAAACACACCTCGTCTACATTTACTTATCGAGCTTTTCAATAATAATAGAGATAATAATAATAATAATAAAAATGATTATAGTGATAACAATGATAACAGTAATTTTACATGTAAGTCTCTTGACAAAGGAAATGCAAAGTCTTCAAAAGTTCAACGCAAAAGAATAAGAAAAATTTACTATAAAATTAATAAAAATTATCTATAACTGACGAGTTTAAGGAAGTCTTGCTTGACCCTTCTATATTATAGAAGGGTATAGATGTTATATGGTATAGATAAAATGGATAAAAAGAATTCAGCTGCCATAAATTAACACACACATACCTTGCGTTCATCATCACATGCTGTGCGAATTTCATAATAGTCTTGTTCTGTGCATGGCTTCCTTAGGGTGCAATTCCTTGCCCCACGAGCTTTTGAAAAATGTCAGAGAATTTTGCTTTCAGTTGGTGTGAATAATGTATCTTTTTCCAAGAACACAATACATACAATTAATTAATGATCAAATTTATGTTTTGGAATTGATCATAAAAATTTATTTGATTCATGATTACATGTATTTAATTCACTGCACACAAATCACTTGAATGGTTAGAGAGTAACATTCCAAATTTCAATACATTCAACATAGGTTATAAAATGATGAAAACAAGTAACAAATAATCATATCATCTATTGCTTATTTTATATAATAATGACAATAATAATAATAATAATAATAGTAATAATAATAAAAATTGACACACCAAATTGAGAAGTTATGGGATGAGATCAGAAACCAACGGTGGCGAGGGCGTCTAGTGACTACTAGGCTGGAGGATTAGAGTTTGAGTGCCGATGGGTGTTTCTGGTGGCTCACAGAGTGGAAGAACTGCCCATCACACACAATTGCTGGACTCGTCGAGCCATACGAGCAGCTATTGCCAACACAAGTATACACGAGTCAGAAGACCCACACAAGCGGAGAAGGCGAGGTGAGTTGCAGATTATGTGGGCAAGGCTCCAGAGAGTGTGGCACATATCTTGTCAGGATGTAGTGTGCTGGCCCAGAGAAAGTATCTCTCTAGACATGACGCAGCACTGAAGGTACTGTTTTACGAACTGTTGTATGATGAGGGATTTATCGATGGGATACCACCCTGGTACTCACCCAACAAGCCAAAGCCCGTGTATGAGTCAGAGAATGTTAAAGCTTATTGGGATGTCCCTATATATGCTGATCAACAAGAGGTCAGATGCAATAGGGTGGATGCACACATTGTAAATCATAATTATGTGCAAGAGAGTTGTGACGCTGGAAATGAGCTGCCTGTGGGTTAACAATCGGACAAGAAAGGATAAAGAGAAGACACTGAAGTACGGACCCCTTCGCTGGGAACTAAGGCAGCAGTTCCCAGGCTACGAGGTGAAGCAATATAACATCATTATGGATGCCCTCGGGGGGTGGTCACGGGAGCTGGATGTCATGATGCGCGAGCTGGTGGGAGGCAGAAGCACAGACGTACTGCGAAAGATGCAGAGGGCAGTGCTCTTGGGCACGCTGAATATTGCCCGGACTTTCAAGGTGGCAGTTTGAATTCCTGTTAGAAGGAGGACCGTAGACACAACGGAAAAGCTTTTTAGGATTAGTTAATGTACATTTATTTTTTTAATCCATGGCTCACAGGTTACGGTTTTCGCATTGTGCTGCCTGATTAGAATGTAGCATTCAGTTGATTTCTCTGCGACATAATAATAAAAATAATAATAAAAATAATAACAACAACAACAATATTGATATCAAAAAGACATGTATACAAGTCTTACCGGAGTACTCAGTGACCTCATTACATTTTGAGCACTCTGTGGCACCAGGGGAAGAAAAAGTATTCACAGGCCACATTTTACAACTGAAACACAGATGAAATTAAAAATAAAATCAGCTTCAAAAGCTCATTAATAAATACCAGAAATTTTGATGTCACTACCAGTTAATTACATTTTGCCTTCACTACTCAACTGGACACACAAGAGTTGATATCTGGGCAGGTTGGCCAGCCAAGCCACCAATTATTTAATGCCAAATCAATATGCTAACAGAAGTCTATTACAATTGAAGTAAACTAAATGCACCAAAGCCGGACACGAAAACCCCTAAAAACCAGCAGGTGGAAAAAACTGGGAATGCGTACCCCCAACCAAGGCAGCAGTGCTACCCTTGGGGTTTTAGGGAATCCTATGAATGACATTTACACATAATTACTTAAGGTACTACGCAAGTACCGCTGTAAATTTATACAAAAGACGAAAACCAAAACGAAAAGCTACACACAGCCCTACTAATGACCTCAACTTACAAACCATGACCCCATAACTCCCTGCATACCTTGCAGCCACCCCCAGTCCTCTGATATGTGCCGGCAAAATATTAATTTATGCTAATTAGGATTACCACAAATTACATTTTGAAAGACACAAGTTGTAAACATCAACATTTGTTATTGACAGGAATATCAATTTTATTGACATAAAAATTATTTTTTTGAAACTTAAAGAGACAAAAAATGAATTTCTCCTTATTGCATAAATACATTTCAACCAGAAAGTTGGTTAAAAGTGAGAGGAATATCAATGATGGGGACACTGTTTGATTTAATACTAAATTCGCAGAGCTATAACGATGAGAAAAGAGACACAGAAGATAATTAGACCTTAGGTGTGAAGTTTTATTTAGTAAATGTTTGGGGTGATACCAAGGAATTTATAGTAGGTACACCAGTAAAAAATTATGTAAAATGGACTAAGCTAAGACTAATCCTGAAAGACATGTTTCTATAGCTCTGGTGTAGAGGTTATCATATATTCAAGCTGAGAAAACTATACTGGAACATAATTCTATATGTACCTTCCTTTGGCTTCCTCTTTGTTATAATACCCTGCTTCACATGGGGTGCACTCTGATGTGTAAGACACTCCTATCAACAACAACAACAACAACAACAATAACAACAATAAGATGAAACAACCTTGGAATGCTAGGATAACAGCTGAGCTATCAAGTTCATTTGCTGGCAAAGAGTGAGATTTTCAACTGCATAGCCTTTGCTTGTAATGCTGCAGGCATTAGCTTCCTGAGGGAGGGGAGGGGTGTGGGGGAATGCTCCCTGGAAATTGTGAAAAAACATAAGGCAGCTAAGACATGCACTGCTTTATCCAGAGCAAGAGTTTCCATTGTTGGAAAGTACTTGAAGTACTCACAAAAGGGACAAGGAGTAAATTATGTTTAGAAGGATAACAAATTTTAAAGGTGTTACTTTTAAATCAGCAGTTTGCTACCTCAAAATTGTCAGTTTAAATCAGAATCCTTAAGCTTTTCACACTCAAGATCTCATTAGCAATTCTCCTTGCTGTCTGCCATACAATTCTTATGATGTTAGTTTGGAGAATTTGGTATTGGATCAACTGATGATCCCCTGCTTTTCTTTTTTTCCTTATTCTCATTACTTGTTTGCTTGATATTGTATTGATATTGTAAGGAGAAATTCTGTCTTAATTGCTCATGAGAGTTAAAGGTTTAATACAAATGTGACAAATAATACATGCAGTCTAAGTGTGAGAGTGTAAGATTGAATGTTTGTGACAGTAGAATAAAATATTGGATCAACATTCAGGTCAAACCTTGAATTTCAATGCTTCTGATGTAAACAGGTTCTCGTCTGTCGTGAGAGCCATAACTGATTGCTGTAACTTGCCAAGTGATCACATTCCTTCCTGCTTTCAAAGCAATCTGTAAATTAGATGATACACAAAACATTTCTTTCAGAGGAATTTGTTGCATCCCTTGGAAACTTGTTAATGAATTTACTCTTCAGCGGTGGTTTACCTGCAGAAAATGTAGCTATACTATGAGTGGGAATATGGTAACATAAAAAAGAAATAAGTAGAATGAAAAGCCCTTGTCAGTGCGGTGGGCATTAAGAGCACCAACTTGAAAGGTAAATGTTTGCTCTAGAGTTTGGCAGCTTTCCGAACTGCCTGTGCAGACTGCCATATGTTGTTTAGAATTATTTGGGAGATCAATATTTGTTTTATACTAATTTTGAGCTCAGTCACAAGCACAGAAATAATGCTTACCTTGGTTGTTCCCCATTCGTTGTTAACAGTACGTGGAGGGAACGTATCCTCTTTATCCAGACTAGAAACTCTGCACTGATCATTTCTTACCTGAAAAAAAAAAATTGATGTTTATTTATTCTTTTATTTATTTGCAACATTTAGACATGCTGGCCAAGTTTTAAAGCTAGTTTAAATGGGGACCTGTATGAATAATAACAAGGCCAGACCACAACACTGTGGATAATGTAAATCAAATGTGAATCATTAAATATCAAATACATCAGGTGCATTAAAGATTCCTTGACTCTCTTTTGTGGTAAAAACCAGTAGGTACATAATTACAATATTTACTATCCAGTTGTGCTTCATAGAGTACAAATAATGCGCGGGATGAGTATAAATATCATGCGGGATTTGTACTCTAGAAATATCCACAAAATTCACCCGCACTGAAATAACAACTTGGTGTGTTGGATAATAAATCTCTTATTAGGCGTTTTGTTGTGTAGTATTGCTGAGTATTTTTACTCATCAATTGTATTTTGACTCGCTCTATGGGCTCGTCAAAATATGGCACAACTCGTAAAAATACTCAGCAATACTACACAACAACATGTCTAATAAGATATATTTATTATAAAGCTATGCAAGTGGCCCATCTTGCCAATTTGGAATTGCCCTATTTGATCCCTTACAAAAAAAGTTGCATGGAATGTTCCATAAAAATGCCAAAAAAGAACTACAGTTACTAACAATACTGACAGAGATTATTAGCCATTCTTCATTTTCAAAATCAAAAGGGGTGCTAAGAAACAATACTTACAAACACACGGAAAGCAGTGTGGATACCATCAGTGTGGTAATAATCAAATGATACATGACCGTCTCTTTCCAGCTGTATCCATAAAAAATGTTAAAAAATTGTTACAATGTGTCTAACAGTAGTTCCCTAGATAAATACTTTGAAAAAAAAAAACCTGGAGTTGAAAGCAGGAAATACATTTTCTGAATTATTAAACTCATTGGCACTGATGAGCTTGGAGGAAGGTGCCTTAGCACTGTGGCAGTCGTGCTGACTGCCCACAGCAGGGAGGTTACCATGGCGACACATCCTTGGTCCCCCCCTGGCACCAGTCACACTGACAAGTCAGTGGAATTGTTTTATACTTACCTGCTCGTGGCCCGTCATAGAGGAGGGAGGGTGGGAGCACAAGAGGCAGCTCCCTTAGGATCCACAATGATCTCAAAATGTACTGAAAACCTCGTGACCCTGCAATTGCAAAGGGGGCACCCCAGAGCATGTCCTGCGCTGACCATTGTGCCTTGATTTTAACCTTGCCTAAATTTCATTTAGCCTCATTTTTAACACAAGAAACAGAGGTAGAAGTTACACTTGAATAAACAAAAAGATTATTTGAAACTTACAGTGACGGCATACGTCAGATCTGAGGTACATTCATCTTCTGGTGACATGATACTGTCACCTGATGGTATCCACCCAGTCCTAAAAAGAAAAACAAACTAAGGTTCCCAAATGTGACTTGAAACAAGCAGGTTTTTTAAGAACAAAAACTGGCCGACAGTAAATGGTTTGAAACTAAGTATTATTTGATCATGGAGTCTGTCTGGGTAAAAGTAGTCCTGAAAGCAGTAAGTTTCCATAGAAATTGTACTGCTGTGTCAGCAGAGGGTATTAGAACCCACAGGCATTTGACAGTTGTCTGTACATAGTAAGGTGTGGAATTTGAGCCTTACTTGGCTGCATTGGAGAATTTGAACTGGAAGTGAAGTCTTTCCAGCAGAATGGATATGTTTAAGGTAAAAACTTCACTTTCATGAGTAGGTGGCTCAGAAGAAAAGGACTCCTAGGTCTAAGTTTCAAGGCTTGGTCAATGTGTAGAAATCACAGTTGCTGATTTAGTCTTTCCAAAAAAATTTGGGTGGGACATGTGAACACAATTTCTGCCCATTGGGTAGGAATTTAAACAAAAAAATTTTCAAAAGTTCAATGTCCAGGGGATTGATGGAAGTCGACATGAGAGGAATGATAAGCTGAAAGGGTAGCACAAATTTTCTAAACCCATCCCAAAGTAAAGCAAAGCAAAATTACTGCAATCTTGGATGACTTTGATATTTACTACTCTATGAAAATTGCCTTATATATCAACTTGCAAGGAGACCTATATATAAAAATTAAATTCATCTCCTTACTTTGAGCAGTTAGCTCCACTTTCTTCCTTGAAGTATTCATTGTCGTATCCATATTCTTGAAAATGCGCATCTTCCGTGCGACTCTCAAATCCAGTTGGAAGTTTATTCCAGTTGCTGAAGCGTACCCCTCCTCCAACACTGTATGTACCCATAGCACATGCTTTACACTCCAGGGTCTTACTTGTCACATCAACATAATGTCCTGGTTCACATGTGAAAGCTAAGGGAAGGAAAAAGAGCTTTGACAGTAAGACACCAAGTCCAATACTTAGATCTTACTGCCTTCCTAGAAGGAAGGCACAGAAGGCACAAAAAGCTTCTTGGTTTGGACCTTCTTGGGCTATATATGTCACTTACTAAAGATGAAATCAAGAAGGTTGACAATGTGTAAAGCAGATCAACTTCAAAAGCTTATACCCAATGCCACCTACAATGTTAAGAAAATGTGCACCTGCTTCCAAACTTAAACAAGACTCTGCAAACCCTTGTTCCTTTGTAATTCAATCACTTTTCATTCCCTGGAGGCAATTACCATAGTTTCTCAGTTATAAGATGCACTCGGCTATAAGACACCCCAAACTTAACAACTTAGTCAAGCCAAGTTCCCAAACTGAAAATTATGTGAAAATATTTGTTTAGACACAGCAAAAGGTTGAGAGTTAACAAAAGGTGTGATGGATCTGAGAAAGTTTAATGGTTGCTCTGGTGGTGAAAGCAAATAGCAAAAAACTCCCACCAAAAGTCATATTCAAATTAAGGTGTTTGACAGCTGAATATCAACACGCCACCAAGGATGCAAGTTTCAGTGCACAAAAAAGGCTGGATGGATGAATAAGGTAGCTTTTATCTCCACACTGTTTATTCAGAGAAGGAACTTTTCGAGTGAGCCACACAAACACAATTCTAGGAATTTAAACAAGATTCAAATGATTGTTTTGTTGTTAAGAACATGTGCAAATTTCCATTTGTTTGCTTTTCTGAGTGATTAGTGTTCTAAAAGCAGTAATTCCTTTTTAATTCATAGGAATAGAGGGTTGGATTCTACACAATCTACACTACACCTCAGACCAAAAAGCTCTGCTTGTGTGGGATTTGTTTCATGGTCATTTGATGAAGAAACAGTTCGTTCAGAACCACCGCAACAGCTCTTTTCAGAGCCACCCCAGTTCTTTTCAGAACTACCAGATCTAAAAAAGTCAATGACTGACAATTAGTGTCCTTTTCTTGTCTTTTTACCTAGAAGTTCTGCTAAAATTGTGATCTTAAGATTCAGTTATGCAAAAATACTTCCAAGGCTATAAGACGCACCCCTTATTTCCACCCAAAGAGAGAATTTTCTTGGAAAAACTGTGTGCCTTATAGACCACTTTCATAAATGACTGCCGGATTAATATTCTTTTGTTTAAATTTAAATTAGCCTCTCTGGCCTCGTTCTCCAGTACAAAATTCAAAAGAATACATTATCTCAAGTGAGGCCAGAAAGGCTAATTTGAATTTAAACAAAAGAATATTAATCCAGTAGCCTTTTTTGAAAGTGGTCAATAACAGAGAAACTGATAGAAGATAGAATCTACCCTCAAAGTTTCCTTTCAAGAAAAGGCATGTTTGGAAATAGGTTATCAACAACCAAGTCCATCAAACACAAAGTACAAATCAAAGTTTTGGGTAAAAAAGCAATAAAAAAAATGAGCAGCCAGTTTTGATCCTCCTCCTCTGTTTCCTGCCCCATCTCCAGTCTTAAAGGCAGTAAAACTTATCACCTAGGATTTATGTAAACAAAGGATTCCCTTAACCTAAGAAAATGTTTTACTCTAAAATGACACAATGTGATGAGAAGAGTTTTATGAGGGACAAAGTCTGGTCTGCAGTTTGGAAAAAATGGAAATGAAGGCATAAATTAAAGCCACAGAAAAGTTGAATATTAGAAAAATTTGTATCAACAACTCTATTTGCTTCAGGCGGAAGGGGTCTATACTTTGTTATATACTGTTTAGCTTCCCCGTAAGGGCTTGCATCACAATGAAAGACCAGATTTTTAAGTAGGATTTCCTGTTGAGTATCTGATTTCTTCTCGACATTCTAAAAATCTTCCCGATGTCCAGCTTCTAGAAAGCAGTTTGATCTACAAATCATTAAAATACAGTTTACAGACCGTGACATTTTTAATTCCAATTAAAATGTAAAGCCTTGAAGAAACGATCCCCAAATAAACAAGGAATTATTGAAGTTTCAAATATTTTCTAGTCCGTGGTAAGTAGATATTGATATCTTACCGACAGGAAGCAGTATTTATTTTAAAAATTTCACTACTCCTTAATATGGGGATCAAAACGTTTAGAAAGCGGCATTTAGATTTTACGACATACTTGATTTAATTTATGTAAAAATAATGCTGTTAGCGCGTATTTTCTCGCACAATAAGGGCTTTGCCAAGTTAATGTTTAAAAAAATACAGATAACAGGAGTGCAATCTTTCACTTTGTATCATTAAACATTCAGTTATTGTTTCCAGTTTAAAGGACTCACTTACGAAGGCAGAAAACTATTTCACACAAGAAAAGAAAGGACGATGTATATTGTCGAGACGGGTGAGAATACGTAATCAGCAGAAGGTGAGCTTTGAAACGTTTTACGGTTTTCCGAGGTTGAACACATCCCGATCTGTAAGATAATCCCGGTCCTTTTCGTACGTGTACACATTGATTACCGGAGAGGCTGAAAAGAGGTGAAATGTCACAAAATGTTTTATCCCAGTTCACGAAAGCTTTGTTCACCTTTGGAATACTTATTAATCGGAATGAATTAATGCTTGGTAGCGTAAAGATAACCCGGCAGGTTTCCATCGAGTTTTCACGCCATAAAAAGAGTAAACACAACGCTTCCTTTCTGTATCATTCTAGAATAACGTCGTACTTACTACACTCCTTTTGCCGAACAGGCACTTCGCCTTCCACAGTACAAACTCCATCTTGTTTAGGAACGGCAACTCGCCATCTTCCTTCGGCCGAATCGCATTCAGTAAAATCATAGGTGATTTGATCCTACAAACAAAACGAATTACATAAGAAAATAGAAAGCGAAAAAGAAGAAATTCGATAATAATCGCTCGGACCGTCAAGTGTTAGGCAGAGAACCTGAAAGAGCTATGCTAAAGAACAATAATCCGGCATTATTAAAACAGGGCGCCGAAACCGCCAAGAAAGTTTACCTGCGTGCACGGAGTGCCATGCGAGTATAAAGGCAGAATAACAAGCAGCAACAAGTATCTGCTCTCCATCCTCCTAAAAAGCGAACTCTACTCACTCTAGAAAACTAAATTAATGCCAGGTACAAGGCGAATCTTCTCTTGAATTGCAGACGTAAAGAAAACTTCTCGTCGGGAGTGTGAGCTTTTCAAATTCAAATGAGGAATACTTCAAGGGTTCCTTGAATCCAGTCCTCCGCGGCGCTTCGAGGACGACATCGCTATGGTAACTATCATAAGCTCAAAGTCGAAAATTTCTAGTTGATATTATCTCAGCGAATACATGATCATGATATTGCCACATGTCACTTCCTGATACAAAAAGGAAATTCAGTGAATATTTTTTATCCAGCTTCGTTTATGTTCAAGATATCCGTAATCTAAGAATCACCTGATGATATGAAATATAAAATCATAATCAAAACCGAGCGTTACTCGGGCGGTCGTGTCTCTCATGAAGAATTTTCTGTTTTCATTTGAGATGAAAATAATCTATTTGGTCGTGAAACACGAACCACATTTTTTTTTCTGTTTATCTTTTCACTTTGAAATGTTTGAATAGTCACTAATGATAAAAAGTCAAGAACTCAATGGTTTTCAGAACTAAGAATATATTAAATTTGCGCTAACTTCACCCCCGTCCCGAAGAAAAGAAAAAATCCTAGGAAATGACGGAGAAAAAATGCGCGACAAGAAAAATTTCCTACATGCCCCCCCTCCTTTTCAAATATCTTTTTCACTACAAAGAGAAACTCAATATCAATCCTAGAAGGAAGCATTTTGCAGGCGAACTTACTTCCGGCGAAATTTGATACCCAATAACTCATGCTATGAATCGTAAAAATTATTTCCTAGGGAAAAGCACTGACATATTGAAAAAGTTGTCTAAAACATTTTGTATAAAAAGGAAGATTCTCATTGGCTAGCGTGATTTTCCCACCAGCCTAAAGCGTCTAACAATACTCCGACGCTACAGCGGCAGATTTTTCGAGGGCACAGTGCGACCCAGTCATCACAGAAAGATAGCGCGCCGGGGAGGATGGGGGATGGACAAGAAGAAAAGATATAACCAAGACA